GTTTTTTTTTCCTGTTCCTTTCCCATCTTTCCCTCTTCTCCTTACTCAACCCTTCTGACACAGCTCCTGTGGAAAAATTTCCTGCCCTTCTATCACTCCCGAACACCGTTTGTCCTCAACATGCGAGCAACTTGGCTCAACACTGACTACCAGCGCACTGCCTTTCACAGGCTCATCTATTCCTTGCTAGATATGCCAGAGGTAAGAGCGTGGGTGGTTGGTTGGCTGGTGTTCTAGTGTGGTTTGTTTCTTCTTTCCTATCAAACCTCTAACGTCCTTGTCTCTCCTCCTTCTTTTTTGTGCTTGTAACACTTTTAATCTTCGGCACTTTTATGACCTTATAGTGTTGCAAGTGCCGTTAAACTCTTACAAAAAAAGAGGTAAGAGCATGCTCATATGACCTTATAATATGCATTTATGAATACCCTAAAACTGTTACCGAACAAACAACTGAGATAAGGGGCTTGTACATCTTCAAAGCTTTAGATAAAAACTCATAAGTAAAATAAATTAATTTCTGTTGATCTTTATGTCCCTTGAACGGCTTCGCATCCTAAAACAATCTTTGAATCTTTTAAAGTAAAGTTTTATTTTTGGTGGGTGGGGGGTTGGGAGGTGGTGGTATATTGTTTTTGAGGCTCTTTTGCAAGTCCCTTTGTCACGAGAAGAAACCTGTTCTACGTATGACAATCAAATCGTATTTAGATTATTTGAATTCTATGTCACCCCGAATCTATCTTGGTTCGATCCCACAATATGTCAGTGAAGTTGCTGTCCGTTTAATAAGACTTGCATTGCCTGTGAAGCTAACTTGCCATTGTAAAGCAATGAACGTAAACACGTTTCGCTAGTTATCAAATGGATAATTCATACGAGGTCAGTCAATAAAATGAAGGAGCTTTATAAACGTGTTAATCTTATTTCCAGACAATCATAGATTACTTGTTTTTTCCAACTTTTTACTGTGTATGTGTATGTCCCAATCTCTTCACTTTGACTCCCTCTTGTCCCTTTCCTCCTCCTCCTCCTCCTCCTCCTCCTCCTCCTCCTC